GTCTTCTTCTCAGTGTGCGTTGAGAAAAGCATCGTAGATATTAATCGACGTTGGAAATACTTCAACAAATGATTTCAAACCAGTATCGTTTACTTTTAACACGGAACAGCAGCAAAATATGCGACAAAGTCGTCAGACTAGCCCTGCAAGAAATGAGGTTCAATTGAATTCAAATAGTAATAATAGAGAATTTTCCAGCGAGATGTCACTGGCACAAGAACATATCCACATTACTGAACAACAGAGATCAACGCCGCAGATGGATAATTCCATCATGGAAAATGATCACACCGAGGAAAACAAGCTTCCGAAAATTTGCGTGAATGACGAATTTATTTCCAGAAGTCCTTCTCCTGTTTCTTTGAAATTAAACAACATTGAGAAACTTGACAGTGAGGGGTTCATGGGGAAAACAACCTCGTCACAGACTTCATCAATCTTAAACATTGCTGATGTAAATAACATAACCGAAAGTGTGCAGTCCATTACGGTTAAACTGCAGAAATTAAATGGTGTGCAATTCACACCTGGTCATGTGGCATGCAGCGTGCATCGGTCTTACACAGGTTCAGCACCTTGTTGACTTTGCGAACAAAACTAATTATTATAGAGAGGAGAAATGTGACGTCACCATGCCATCATAGCAAAATTTCTAAATCTGAACAATCGTCCTTGCCGACGGCCATTTGCATTGTCGAACGATGGAAGAAAATTAGGGGCTACCGTTTTGTTCCTCAGGAAAATCGTACGTTCAAAGAGGTTAGACAGCAAATTGTTGTTGCTCGAAATATCTAAAGTCGTAACTTTTTATGAGTAACTAGGAAGCCTAAAATGTGTGCAATAGACATTTTTACCGATACAGAGGCCATACTGAATTAATTAGATTTAAGAAGTATTATGGGATGCCCAGGGGGCATGAGCATGATCCGATATACTCGCTCAGTATTTACGCACGCTTTTCGGGCCAATTTTTCTTTAAGTTTTCTTAGAAAAAGATTGTAATGGGAAAAAAAGATTGTTGTGCCGTGTTTTGATGTAATAATGATCGCCTTTTTCCCGATTAATATACATTGAAGTTCTCTTTTTGCCCTAAAAGCGCGCGTAAATACTGAGCGAGTGCTCCTTAGGCATCCCATAATACTCCTTAAATCTAATAAATTCAATATGGCCGCCATATCGGTAAAAAGGTCTATTCTACAATTGGTTTCTTTCCTCCTACCGTGTGTATTACTTTTTATGGAGGGTGAACTTGAGCAAATTATCATGAAACTTCGTTTGAGCATTAAGGACAACAACAACTAACTGCAGACTAAGTTTCATTGACATTTACGCAGTATTTCCTACAAATTTTAGGATCATATCTTTACCCCATACAAACACTGAATTTTACTGGAAACGTACTGTGGTACTATCACAGAGCCTGGGTTACCTGTGATTTTAACAGCATTTTTGTCATTTGTTTACATTCTCGTACCTTGTCTATGAAAATCAACAAATCAACACTCCTGCATTGCTTCCTAAGTACACATGCTCAACAATGTGCGCGCTGAGATCACGCGTTATATGGAAGGCGACAAATACAAAATAAATTTTTACCGATAACCTCTTAGCGTTTTTCTCAGATTCTCAGTTTGTCCTTGCGCTTTTTTCTTTAAAAGCTTCTTGGCTACATAACTCATCTCCCTATGATAAAAATGTTAACATGCACAATAAAGTTATTAACCGCTTCTAAAGAAACAGCGTTAAGCCACTTTAAGTGGATTATTTCCTGGTTTTAAAGTTGTCTGCTTGCGGAAGGTTCTACTATAAGTAAGGGTTATTTACCTGGAGCGAATTTCTAGTTTGAAGGACATTGCCATACGACAACTGTCAACGAAGAAGACTTGGGCTGTTTTACTGAGATTGTTAAACATGCTGAGGGGAATATTAGCAGGGAAAATATATATTGAATAGTTGTTATTGTCATCAGCTATTGTCTTAACCCCGCACTCCCCTGTTACAGTCAAAGCCGCCACCAATTTTTCAGACAGTGAATAATATTGAGGGGTTATGTAATATATTCCCCTAAAAAGAACAAAGCAAACCGAGAAAAGTGAAAAATAATTCATGCTACCTTCTGTACAGCAACTTGTAGATTACCTGGAGTCACGTGACTTGTTTTCAAGATACCAATCCGGATTGCGTCGTAAGTACTCAACACAGACAGCAATTACTTTCCTTACTGACTCCATTAGAAGAAACATGGATAATGGACTCCTAACAGGAGCAATCTTTGTGGACTTTCGTAAGGCATTTGACACTTTTGACCACAAGATCTTACTTGATAAGTTGCAGTTGTTTGGGATTTGTGGTAGTGAACATCTTTGGATGTCGGATTACCTCACTGACCACACACAATCTGCTTTCGTGGGAGGTGTTCTGTCCAGTCCTCAACAAGTTGTTTCTGGAGTTCCGTAAGGTTCTATATTGGGCCCGTTGCTATTTTCATTGTATGTCACTGACCTACCGAACTGTTTGCAAGCTTCTAATTTGTTAATGTACGCAGATGATACCGTCATCTATAGCTACTTTGCTGCCTCAGATGCTAGCCACCTATTGCAAGTATTAAATGACGAGGTCAAGTTCCTTTTGGATTGGTCTAATAAGAGCGATCTCATTATTCATCCTAAGAAAACTGAATATGTGATCTTTGGAACATCTATAAAACTTAATCAGTCTGACTCTGTTAATCTAAGTAAAGTTTATCTCGGAGGTCAAGTTCTAAATGTGTACCTTTTTATAAGTATTTAGGCATATACTTAGACAAGTCCCTGTCTTTAAAGGAACATGTTACTCGGCTGAATAACAAGATATCTAGTCAACTTGGTTTGTTACGTAGGGTACGCAATAACTTAACGGTCTATGCAACTGACAGAGTCTTCACAACCATGATACTTCCCAATTTAGATTATTGCAATTTTGTTTGGAACAACTTAGCTCCTTCTAGATATAGTACTTTAGAACGACTTCAAACGAGGGCTACAAGAATTGTTCTGAAGGATAGTAATGTTACTCACCATCAACTGTTATGCCAATTAAGTTGGAAGTCCCTTAACACGCATTCTACTATTCACCATTTAACTTTTGTTTTTAAGTGTCTCCATAACATTGCTCCAGATCTTGTTAAGAGTTATTTTAATAGGTCTTCACATGTTTATTCGACTAGGCGTAATGGTTTAGATATTTTAATTCCTAAAGTCCGTACAGAAACTGCCAAGAAAGGAACATTTCATACTGGAGCCCAGGCTTTTAATAACTTGCCACCCCATCTGAAGGAAGTTGACTCCATAGTGATTTTTAAAACACTTCTTAATGATATTATTGTTTAGATTTTTATTATTTTTAGAGTCTTAATTTACGTAGTTATATAATTCTTAGTTTTTATCCATAGGCATTGTACATAGTTTTTACATTTTTCTGACAGTTGATCTGTTATAGTTATTTTTTCCTTTAATTGTTAATTTTTTAGTTGCCCAGGGCACCCATTTATAACAGCTTCAGCTGAGGGTTTACCCTGTTTAAATATGTTATTATTATTATTTTTTTATTACTTTTCGCCTCATGTCAGCGAAATTTTGTTTTGCAGAAATCTCCACAGTGCGATTTGTCACTGGCAAAATCTCATTACACGAAATTGCTTTACCTATTGCGAAAGTTCGTTGGCGTTTATAAGCTAAATTTCTTTGCGAACATTCCCGAAAACAAAACCAACATTATTGTACATTTAAGAATTGACTGTCAGCTCCTTGTTCTTTAAAAGACAGATAATGATTTCTGAGGACTGGATAATGAGTTCCTATTGTCTTTCTACTGTTCATTAATACGCACAGTCTTGAGCAATTGTTAAAAGGGAGAGTAAGACTAACAAAAACAGTCGAGCATTTGGTACGCGAGAATTAATACTTTTGACACTTAACGTCTCTTTATCATCATTAAGTAAGTAGCAAGTATAACTCTACTTTGCTTATAATAAAACTCCTTTCACCACTTTATGAATTATGCTATCCTTTTACAAGTTAAGCTAATATAATATATAGCAGCCAAATTTTTAGTAATTTCCGGTGCAAACGTCACATCAAAATGTGTCAAATCTATCGTCAATGAGTGAGAACAATAGATTTTCGTCATTAGTCATACGTCTGACGTTTGAACTGGGCCTTAGGCCTCGTACACACTCATACATTTTCCTTTGAAAACTCATTCATTGCGCTGTGTTTTGCTTCCGTCCACACTTATACACTGAGCGTTTTCATTGATTCGAAAACGCTCTTGAAGGACGATCAAAACGCAACCGCATACTCATCGTATGAAGGCTGATTTGCACTGACGCGTTTTTGGCTACGCACGTTAACGCACGTAAATTTTAATCACGTAAATAAAATGGAGGCAAGATATGAAGTGTTGAGATTAAACGTGAAGTTGAGCGAGGTTCAACTTATACGCTTACTAGCGACCGTTCATGCATTGCCTCCATTTTATTTGTGAACGTAAATTTTACCCACGTACGCACGTAAAAATTACGCGGCAGTTGAAAATCAACCCTTAGGTGAGCGGTTAAAGAAAGGTCGAAAACGCATCAAAATGAAGGCGATGACCGAAAATATTACAGGCACGCGTGTTTGTACCATACGCATAGAGTTCAACTTACGCAAAAACGTGCAATTCTATCTTTTTCGAACGTTTCAGTGTGAACGGTAGAAAACGCATCAAAAAGGTAGTGTGGACGCGAATCGATCAGTGCTTTTTCGATGACAAGGAAAGCGCATTCGTGTCAGACAGGGCCTCAGTTGCTACAGAACCGTGAGGTTAAAACACGTGTGAATAACTATGAACAATAACTAATTTAAAAATGGTTTATTAATCACAAAGCATCAATTCCTTGCTTAAGGTGGCGCGAACTTTTATTTGCACGTTGGTTATGTTTTTGAATCGCGTTTTTCGGCAAGAATGATTTAACCGAT